GAGGATTCAGCAGGAAGGTAGCTCTTCAAACTTTATACTTTATTCTGCCCCTTTCACATTTTTAGATTGACATCTGGAAAATTTTCACTGTAAGTTCAAATAGAAGTAAACATGTTACATTTTTGTAACCTTGTAAATACTGACAGTTTAACATGAAAAACTCTTGCATCATTCTTTTAACAACTTCAATGGAGTCTAACCAAAGGCTATCATATTTTAATATCCACTGTCACTCATTAAAATACAAATGGACAAGTGCTCAAGCAGGGAGACATTTAGCACCATTATCATTTCTTCTGGAACTCACATTCTCATTTATGTTCCCTATGGAATTTTATTCTAATGTCAAATATTTTTATACTTCAAAGTCTGCTCTTGATCATCCTATTATACATCCTAACAACAGTAAGTATATAAAATGAAATTTTAAGCAAAAACATTACTGCTCCCAGAAGTCTCCAAAGTGTTCAAATAAATAAGTGAATAAAAGCATGCTATGCAACTAGTAAGTGACAGAAGACTAATTAGAATCTGGGACTGTGCTCCAGCTTCCAGATCTTATCTCTGAAACCTCAGAGAAGAACAAACCCTAAGTCATGGCAAGATTCAAGATGCCTTTTTCCTATAAAGTGGGATAAGGGTCATGGTGAATGTAGAGGCAGGAAACAAAAGACAGAATGACTCCTCAAGGTCAGGGAAACAAACCAATTTTCCAGAACAATCCACAAATAAATTGGAAATTAATACTCTTGAAAATCTCCTATCTATGTACCTCCTTGGAAGCCATTGTCCAACTCTAGGGCAAAATTCTTTCAGTTGAACCTGATTAATACTATATATTAGGGGCGGGAGATTTAGCTCAGTGGTTCTGCTGCCTGCCTCGCAAGTGCAAGGTCCCAAGTTTAATCCCTGGTACCAAAAAATAAAAAAAACTGAAAACTAAAAACAAAAAACAAACAAAAAGAAAACCAAAGCAAAAAAATAACCCACTGTATTTTAGGCCTGACAATACTTTGTTATTGGGGCTGTTCAGTGCATTGTAGAGCATGTGGCAGCATTCTGGACCTCTGACGTCTGCAGATACTGCTGAATGCGCCCCCCTCAGGCCAGGTGGGTGTGGGAGGAATCATCCCTAATTGACAAACTCTGATTTGGGGCTATGCTTATGCTAGCTTGATTCCTTATTTAGCTTGTTAAAACTGTGAAAAAGGCTCAAATCACTCAAATGTATTATTTTAATTTTATTTAGGAAAAGGCAAAAATCTGGTTGTTTTTGCTTGAATTCCTTTCTCACAGAAATGAGGAGTTGTTGAGCAAAGGGGTTAAAGGAGTTGTTAAATTTATAGTTCAATCCCCTGTACAAAAAACAAAAAAACAAAACAAAACAAAACAAAGCAAAAAACATAAGGATTTGTGCCCAACCAAATGTTGGGTCTTAAGAGAACCAAAATCAAAATCAGCTTAGGATAAACGGAAAGTCAAATGTCACTTAATGATTGGCATGTGTTCTGAGGTATGGGCCCTTAGGCAATTTTGTCATTGTGCACACATCATAGAATGTGTTTACACAAGGTAAGATGGCCATGACATCCCTGGGTGCTAGCACTGTATGGGACTACCATCATGCATGCAGTCTCTTATTTACTGAAATGTCATTACACAGCTCAGGACTGTATTTAAAGACAACAGCGAAGAGGAAGAATGGAAAAGAGGGTTGAAGTCACTAATAGACAATCATAATGAAAATTGCCATTTATTTTGTGCCAACCACTAAGGTGTTTTATACTGACTATTGTGTTAACTAATCACAACAACCCTAGAGGTAGTTATAATCATTTGTTGATCAATGTAGGGTAAGGCTGTCATAACAAAAGACTAAAAATATTAAATAACAAAGACAAACCAAAAATGTGATTCTCTCCAGGCAAAGTCTGGGTAGGCTGTTTAGCACCCCTTTGGCACACCAGACTGGAGAGTCCATGCTTTCTCTGGGCTGTGTTTTTCTTTGTTCTCTCCAATGCCTTCCACCTCATGGTCCCAGGTGACAGCTCCCTATGCTGCTATCAGGTCAGCATTCCAGCTAGGAAGAAGGATGAAAAAGGGAAGGTGATGATATGTAATTTTCTTTTAAAAGCACGATCTAAAAGTAACACCCTTCATTCCATTCACAACTTAATGGCTCGACCCAGCCACAAGGGATATGTGAACTCAAGCAGTGTTGCCATGTGTCCCTCTACAAAAGTGGGCAGACTATGATTTAGAATCCAATAACTTCCTTTTGGTAGATTAACATTTATGTAACATAACTACTCCCATTCATTTATGTATTATTTATGTATTGTCTATGATGCTTTCTAGATTCAGTGGTGCTGTTGATAGTTCTGATGAAACTGGATGGCCCACAAAACTTAAAACATTTCTCTCTGGCCTTTAAGGAAAAGATTGGCAATCCCTGATCTAGTAGAAACATAGAATGGATATCTGGGGACATCTGAGAGGCTCTGTCAATATTCTTATTCAACACAAGAGGAAACAAGAGGCACATAGAAGGCACCTAAATGGCCCAGGGTCATGTACTGGTAAGCAGCAGAGCTCAAATCTGAACATGCTTTTCTATTTGGCTCCAGAGGCAAAGCACTGTTTATTATATCATACTGCCTCATTAAATAACTCAGAAAATATTTATTGTGTCTGCTCTGGGCCAAACATTGTTCGAGGAATTGAGGATTCAGTAGTGGATAAAAGAGAGGACACCCTGCTTTTGCAGAACCTATATTAAGGGAGAAAGACTACAGACAGAATTCAAAATAATGTGTTACATTCTATGGGTGGTAGGTGTTGCACATAAAAATAAATCAGAACAGAAAGGAAGGCAGTGACTAGTGGGGGTGGGGATGTATTTTCAAAGGAAATGGTTCATGATGGCCTCAATATTGAGGAAAGCAAAGAGAGTGAGCCTGAGCCAAAGCCCTTGAGGAGGAGGTGGTAGCCTGAGCTGAGAACATCCAGTAAGAACCCTGAGTTCCTCCTCAAAGAAGAGGTCGAAGCAAGGGTCAGGAGCTGGACAAGAACCGGAGCCAAAAGAACAAAGAGAGCAGTGTGGATGCCCACGGTTTGTGCAGCTTGTGTGCGGTGGGGAGTTGGGAAATTGGTACAGAGTGGGTGAGTGGGAAGAAGTCTCACTGAAAGTCACAGGATCATGGTGGAGAGTTTGTTTTTAAACCTTTCCGACTACTTAAAAAACCCCAGGCGCATAGACAGAGGACACACTTGAATACACAAGCGCAGATAATAGCTGCCTGAGGGTTGGGGTTTGGAGTAGAGCTGTGAGTCTCTCCTCTGTCACTTGATAAATTCAGGGACATTGTTGTTAGTGCTGTTATTAGCCATGATTTATTGAGTGATTTCTGTGTGTTAGGTGCTTTATATACACGATTGCAACTAATCCTTACCTAACTCTATAGATATTAATATTATTTTCAATTATCTTCAAATTAAGAGTTTAAGTGTTGATAGGCTACACTTAAGAAGTAATGAGAAATGTACAATTTCCCTCTTAGGCATTTATATTGCTTTCTCTTTTTTCAACACAGTGACTAGTAATGTTGGTTAATGATTCTGTGGGGATGTTTTGATAAACAATTTTATTTTGGAAGCAAAACAATTGAATGATTATTTAGTGCTTACTATGTGTCAGGTGCTGTTCTAATTACTTTAAATATTCTTCTCAAAGCAACACTGTGAGCAGATATTCTTGTTACCCTTGTTTCCAGATGAGAAAACTGAGTTTCAGAGAAATTAAATAACTTGCCCAAAGTCACACAGCCAAGAACTAGATAAGCCGAAATTTGATCCTTAGGCAGTGTGGCTCTGAAGTTTATGTGTTTAATTGGTATACCATACTTCCTTGCGAAACAGACTAATTGGAAAATTGAATGAGAAAACATGCTAGTTTTTCCCCAACTTGCCGACGCATATGGAAAGCCTAGTGATCAAAACCATGGCCATTATCTCTCCAAAGTCAGCATATTTAAAATGCAAAGTCCCATGTAAGAAAGATACTTCTAGAAGACTGACCCAGAAAACTCAGATTTAAAATAAACAATAGCAAGAGCAAGCCTGTTCTCTTTGTATGTGTGAGTACCTATAGGTGTGTGTGTGTGTGTGTGTGTGTGTGTGTGTGTGTGTGTTTGTGTGCAAGGTGAGTCTAACCAGTAGTTTCAAATGTCAGCTGCTAGGCTTTCTTCCTCGAAGTCTAAATTTCAGCTTTTTAAGGAGGCAAGATTTACAAATCGGAAATCTTTATTGTCCTTTAGGAAATGCACCTTTTTTTCCAGAATCTACCCTTTGCAGGGACTACTATCCTGCCTCTTCGGGGATGGAGTTCCCAACAAGGTCAGGCAGTCCAGGATCATCGATGGAATAATTCTCCACATCTTTTCAGCACCATTGTCAATGCTCTGAGCAAGAGGGGCATAAATATTGCTTGTTAATTTCCCTACAATTTCTTGGCATTGTCAATGTTTGGTAAAGAGTTTCCTTGGAAATTTCTGCTGTCCAAATTGGCATAAAGGATAACAAACATGGACACTATATGTGCCCTCTCAGTGTGAGTTTGGGGGTCTCAACTTGCTGGCAGTGTGATGGTACCCTGGATTTTCCCTTAGTTAGTCTCCTCCTCATTTCAGACCCTGGGCAGGTGTCAGGTTCTGCTGTTTTTAAAAACCATTTTCTTTTCTTTTTCTTTTTGTAGCAGGGATCGAACTCGGGACCTTGCACTTGCAAGGCAGGAGGGGAAACAACTGAGCTAAATCCCTGGCCATAGAAACCATTTTCTGAAGGTAAATGTAACTGGCCATGAAGGGGATCAATCCTCAGGATGTCCTTAAGACTGCAGAGCAGTAACCAGTGATAGAATTGGATTGTGAGAGATCTAAGTGGCAGAGTCACCTGATATATTCTATGGAGAAGCCAAGACTCCTCTGGAACTTTTGCTTTCTATGGAGTCACGAAACAGCTCTAGAATGGTAACTGAATTTATCATACTGGGGTTTGGAGACCTCAAGGAACTAAGTCCCTTGCTCTTCCTGTTGTTTGGCACCATCTACTTAGCCACCATTTGTGGAAATCTTCTCCTTGTGGCACTGGTGATCACACAACAGGGACTCCGGACTCCAATGTATTTCTTCTTAGTGAACCTCTCATGCCTGGAGATCTGTTATACATCCAACATTGTGCCCAGGATGCTGGTGGACTTGTTGAGGGAAAATGGAGTGATCTCCATGGTGGGTTGCATTATCCAACTCTACTTCTTTGGGGCTCTGGGAAGCACTGAATGTTATCTGCTGGCCGTGATGTCGTACGACCGCTACCTGGCTGTCTGCTGGCCCTTGCATTATCCAACACTAATGCATAGAGCCCTGTGTGGAGGGCTAGTAATTGCATCATGGCTTAGTGGCTTCATAGTGGCAGCTGCATTCCAGGCTGCCATGGTATCCAGTTTGAACTTCTGTGGTGACAATGAGATTGATCACTTCTTCTGTGACTTGAAACCTCTACAGAAGCTCTCCTGCTCAGATCCTTATCTGGTCAACCTGGTTTGCATGAATCTTACAGCCCTGGTAACACTAGCTCCCTTTGGACTAACTCTAGTCTCCTATTGGAGGATTCTTTCAGTGATCTTGCATATAACTTCCGAGACTGGTAGGCAAAAGTCATTCTCCACATGCTCTTCTCATCTGGTAGTAGTGACTCTATTCTATGGAACTTTAATACTGGTCTATGCTGTGCCCTTGGCTGGCCAGGTGCCAGCTGTGAACAAAACATTCTCCTTGCTGTATACCATTGTCACTCCCATGTGCAATCCTCTTGTCTATAGCCTCAAAAATAGAGATGTCAAGGAGGCTCTGAGAAAGCTGTGGATTTAATCTCAAAATCAAGAAGCTGGATTAGAACAGTACACAATAGAATATAATTTGCATAACCCCAAATATAAGCTAATTCTCAAATCCCATGTTTTCAGGAAGAATTGGTCCCAGTCTTCTTGGAATGATCTAGTTTTCCTTTAGCTTATTTACTATGTGAGACAGGAGAAATAGTTCCCAGTCAATAGAAGGGGAACCACTCTGGAACAGACAACATATCATTGCTGCCCACATTCCTTCCAAGAGCTCAACTGTAGAGATAAGAATTTGCAGGTACATTTTAGCTGTGCTAAGTTTCCATCTTGAAATATCACACTGAATTCCATTCATATGTACAAGTAATAAATGCTAAACAAAAATTCAAAAACAAGCAGTCTTTGCTTTTTGTTCTGTTAAGGAGACACTGTGCTAATTTTAAAAAGAAAATAGAAAGCAAGGCATCATAAAATGTGTGCTATAATATATAAAGAAACAGCTGTTATTGAATAAAGTCACAAACACATACATTGAAAGGGACAATTGAAAATTTTAATCAGTGAAGCAAGTAGGAAAATAAATAAAAAGACTGGAAAATCCTGGGTTTGGAGGAGAAGTGGTAACTATGATGTCCCCATGGAAACAGAATTGTTCCCTAAGAGCACCTCCTGAAGTTTCACCTCTGCAAGAGACTATATGCTTCCTTCCATACTTAGGTTAGAGTTCTGGCTGGAAGACTGACACTGCTAAATGGCTAATGACAACACTGCATCTCACTTAGCCCGGAATTACAAAGATAAAGACAGAATGGAACAAAATATATGGAAAGCCACTAGTAGAGTTATTTTTGAGAAATGTGCATTACGCACTTAGAGCAATTTATTAGATATGTGGGCTGCGTCTCGTAGGGTTTTTTTTTTAAGTTTTCTCTAGCATTTACAGCTTTCTACTGTGCCTTCATCTCTTTCTTTGTATTTCCATCACAGTGCTTCTTCTGTGTCCCTGAGTTTGTCTTGTTGTCTCACATATGTTTCTGTTTCTTACTTTTTATATTTGTTTCAAGCTATCTAACATAATCAATTGCATATTAAAGATACACTCTAAGAGAAGGAAGGGGAACCAAAATGATTCTTCTCTGAAAAGGGAGAAAGTATCTGTCTTTGTTTCTTCAATGAAAAATATTTATTGAGAGCCTAATATTATCTGTGCATTGTACTAGGTGCTAGGAATAGAATAATAAAAAATGTGGACAGTTTCTAACCATGAAGATACTATAGTTGGATGGCCTTGGTTGCTCAGAATTTATGTTTTCACATTGTTTATAAAATATGTAGATCTAGAAAGAACTACCTATACAAAGAATCTCTGCAAATAAAATCCCAATGTTGTCATTTACTTTTGATTTAAGAGCATTATTTAATAATGGGAAACAACCTAATGTAAAGGCCTAACAAAACTTTTACTGGAGCATGTGAATAAACAGAAATGTTCCTGGGTTAGCTCTGTCATTTTTATGCATAGGCCTTATTTTCCTATGAGATTGTAAACTTTTTTGAGGACAGACGCAGAAAGTCATTTCCAGTTGTGCCTTCAAGTTACCCAGTCTCTGCTGCCCTGCCCACAGTGGACATTTGATACTTATCTTCACAGGGACAAAGTCCAGACTCCTCATCATGGAATCTAAGGCTTCTGTGACCCCCTTTCTGCCTCCTTCTCCAATATCATCTCACACTGGGCCCCAGCTCATCATCTACTACAACAAATCTATGAAGCCTAATTCATGCTCTTTGCCTGACAAATACTGAATACATGTACACAGCACCTAGTTAATGTCCCTTCACCTTTTCTTAACTGGGGATTGAACTCTGGACCTTGTGCCTGCAAGGCTAAATCCTCAGCCCCCTTCACCTTTTAATATTTAGATCTGTCATCTTCTCTGGGAAGCCTTGCCTGTTTGCTCCCATCCAATGATGGGAGCCAGATGATGCTCTCCTATAGTCTCAGGAATTCACTGTGGACCCGGTTTAAGGAATTACCACATTATCACAATGGTTTACCACTCTGTCTTCTGTAACTGGAAGAATGCTTGACATATAGGAGACAGTGAGTAAAAATTTTCATGACTATCTGAATGGTTACATGTCTTTTGTTGATACCAAACTATGATTACTCCCTTCATTTTGAGCACTAACTTTGTCCTGACTACCCTTCAATAATTTAATATTATGATAAGCATTGTAAAGAAAACATATATAAGATAGTAGGATGACATATAACAAGGACACTTGATTTGGATTGTGTTGGGAATAAAGATAGCTGAAAGATAGGTATAAATTAGGCAAAGATAGATAGGTATAAGTTAGGCAAAGATAGACTATAAAGTGGGGTGGGATGGGGGAGTATTTTGATAGAGAATAGTTAGCAACAAGCCTGTAATGATAAAAATCTTAGACTATTTAGGGAACAGAAGAAAAAGCCAGTACAGTAAAAATATAGCGATCAAAAGGAAAAGCATCAGAGATGAAGCTGGGATGGTAGATAGGAACCAGGAATTTCTTGAGACTTCCTTGTTCATGGGATTGAAATTCTTGATTGGTTTTTAGTAAACTAACATGATCCATTTTATTTTTTAAGAAAACTCTGGATGCTTTGTGGGAGTGAAGGGCTAAAAGATATTGGAAAAATGATTAATATGATTATGTTACTGGTGAGAGGTGATGGTTGTATGAACTAGGAGAGTAGAGGTAGAAATGGAAAGAAATGACTTGAACTTGATGCATCCAAAAGTGGTATTGATGGATTTTGGTGATGGATTACAGAGTGAAACATCAATCACTTTTTGATTACTGATTTATGAATTGAGTATGTACTTGGAAAGGAGGAAGGATGATAGCAATTTTATACATAATATTCTGATATGGAAGTGGATGTCAAGTGGGTAGTAAAATATACTGAGCTGGAACTCAGAAGAGATAACTCGTCCAGAAATATAAATTTAGAATCCAATCAGCATATAGGCGGCATTTAAATGCATGAACATTGGTGAAAGCATATGGAGAAACAATTTAGAGGGAGAATATAGGCCAGAATGGGACCTTGGGAATTCCATAGCTTAGAGATTGTGTACATTACAAATGACCAGCAAATAAGAAGATAGAGAGGTAAGGGGAAAAAGGATGCAAGTGCAGATAAGAGAGTGTTTTAATAAGAAGAACCTTGTAAACTATAAGGAAGATTGTCAAGGGGAAGAGTAAACTGAGGACAGAGAAAAATCCATTGTGTCTGATAACCCGGAGGACACTGACAACCCCACTCAGTAAAGGCCCTTTTGGTACAATAATGTGTGCAGAAACCATATTGGAGTAAAACCTATGAAAAGGAGGTCAAGAAGAGAAAATAATTCTTTGGAGAAGTCTGCCCCTTATAGCAAATAGATGTTCTTGGAGAAGTAAAAGGAAGCTCAAGCGAAGGTGTTAGTCTTACAATGCAAAACAATATAAAATGTTTGGTTACTATCAGAGAGGGAGAAATTGGAGATTCAGGAGACTATAGGGATAGGATTCCTGGAAATGCAGGAAGGTACAAGGTCCAGTGAAAAAATTGGCCTCTGATCAAAGAAGTAACACTTGAAACTGACAAATATGTACTGAATGCCTACTGTGTTCTTGGTCTTTTTTCAAGTACTAGGGATACAACAATGCATAAATCATAATCCCTGCCATCATGGAGCTCACAGCCTGAGGAGAAAGACAGACAAAGACATTTGTAATTAGGTTGACTAATACTATGATAACTACAGGATCCTATGGAAGCAGCAGAGAAGAGGCACAGCTATAAATTGAATTGTGTCTTCCAAAGGATACATTTGAATCTTAATGCCTAGTACCTCAAAATAAAACCTTATTTAAAGGCACAGTGTTTGCAAGGGTAATCAAATTAAAATGAGATCATTAGAGTGAGCCTTAATTCAATATGACTAGTGTCCTCATTGAAAGGGAAATTTCTACACAGGGACAGATAAATATATTGGGAGACTTCTATATAGATGTGAAAGAAGAAATCGGAGTGATACATCTAAGCCACAGCATGCCAAAGATAGCCAGAAAGCCACCAGTGGCCAGGAACAAGTCTTGGGATAGATTCTTTTTCAATGGAACAAAACCTGCTGGTGTCAGACTTTCAGTATTCAGAATTATGAGAAAACAAATTTTTATTGTTTAAGCCCCTCACTTTGTGGTACTTCATTACGGTAGCCCTAGAATATTAATCCAGGTGCTCAAAGCACCCTGGAGAGTAGTGGTTAGCTTAAGGGATGACTTCCAAGAGGAGATGTCATCTGAGCTGAATCAAGATAAATAAGTGAGGTTTCATAGGTGAAGCTTGGGGAAGATACTCCAAACAAAGTGGTCACCATCTGCAATAGCTTGGAAGTTAAAGGGAATATGCATGTCCAAATTGTTGCAAGTAATCCACAGTGGCTAGAAGTACAGTGTGTGAAACATTGTGGTGACAACTGAGACCTGCGAAGCTGCTGCCAACTCTTGAAAGGCCTTCTCTTCCAAGCCAAGAGATTTGGAATTTATTCTGAAGCCAAATAGGTGGTCTTTAAATGTTCATTGCTCTCTTCCACTATTCACCTGCCTAACTCTGTTTTTCTGGGAAGCCTTCTCTCATATCTGTTGTGGCACTTCTCAGACATAATTGTGAGCAAGAACTTGCTTCTCCAATGTCTTTGAATACACAATGAGCACCTGGAAGGAGGGATGATATCCAGCTTGCTGAGATGTGTCCAGTGACTGGCAAGTGCTTGACATATAGCAGGCCTCCAGTAGATGATTGTCCAGAATGTTCTTAAAGGATAGCATAAAACTTCTTAGCTCACTTTGGAATGTGACTCCAGGACACTCCATATTTTCTGTTTACTCCTTCTCCTCATTGATGAATCCCTCAAACTTTGCTCTCATTTCTTTTCCCATTTGGTTTTCCTTTGAGACCAAGTCCTCTGGAAGCTTCAGGCATTTTTCTTA